GCAACGAATACAATTGTATTGGAATGAATTTTATTGCAAAATACTCAGAAAGTACGAAGCACCATCTCCGCGCCGTGCTTGATAGGAATTGGCGCTACGGTAACAAAAGACTCGATAATTTCTATGTATTCACTTGCTTATAAGTACATATAACAAGAGTGGAAAGATAGTGGTTGCGTGTATCTCATTAAATTTTGTTGATTTTCGGTCAGAAGTTAGAATAACATCACCCTGCAGTCTCGTAAACATCTGCATTTATTTTATTTATCACCTGTACAAATTGAATTACCGCTTGGATTTTGTTTTGATCGATAGCTCCGTAATAGGTGCACCAGATGCCCGAGGAAAGACTTTCAGATTGCATGAATCTATGATAAAAGTATTATATGGAAAGTCATGCGATCCCCATCATCCTCTGATTGTAGGTCAGCTCGACGTTGCAAACGCAATATATTTCATACTCTATAATTAATAGCATTTGACGATGATAATAAATAAAAAAATGGTTTAAGAAAGTATAAACCGATATAGTCTTTTGCAATCAATTATTTTGGTTACAATTGACTTTATGATGAAAAACTAAGCCAATGTCAACGGAAAAGACGCTTCTTTTAGCTAACCTTTGATTGACCGGATAAATAAATGACATAAATATCAGAATTGGCTTAAAACCGAATTTTAATTGCCACTTTTTACCCTTTAGAGATCGCATCAGTAGAATCGCGTAGCCAAATAGATTTTGAAATTGACATTGGATGAGATACCGACAGGCCTCATCAAAAATACATGTATATTGAAGTAGCGTCAATATCCAAAGATGTTTGTCGATCTAAAAGAAAACAAATTTTTATAAATGCAACGATCGGTTTTCTTTATTCTCTTGATCGCTAACACTCATTTATTACAAAGCTGACTTTTAATACTTTTACTGTAGATTTTTCGTATTACAAGTATTAAGTTATAGTTATATATGTACTTTGGTTAGAACAAGATACTATTCATACTAGCGATTCTTACCTGCATTTTACTGGCTGTGCAATTTACAGAAAAAGCTGAAAATCTTTTGTTGTTGAACGAATTTCGACAATAATATGTAAAAACAAAACACCATTTTGTCAGTTAACTATTTAATAAAATATTAATGCGAAAAGGGAGGAAATATGGTAAATGTATATCTGTTTACGTTGGTGATCGTAATATCGCTTCTTGTAAATCAATTACCGACTAAGTAAATGATCATGAACCGTTTTCATGTTCAGTGGGATTAAGCATTTAAATTGATTTATGATTGAATTATTTAATTAAATTTTCTTTAGAAACTATAGACATTAAAATAGTCTCGAGAAAAAGTTCAGTAAAATTTATCTTCTATAAATGAGAATGATTTGCAACAATTTATTGCTAGGATTTGATTTACTGTTCAAGGAATACACGTTAGCCGCATTACTTTTAAAGAATATATTGTAAAATTCAATTGAATTAATTGTTATAATACGTGTTTACATACGTTATTCTACTAAAAACGAATAAAATCGTCATCCATCGAAATTTTCAACGTGTATGACACATAAACTGAATTTTAAGTTAATACTTAAAATTTTTCATTTTTCTTTTATAGATTAGGTAGATATTGATTTCTATAATTTTGTATCCAGTGATTATTATTATAAAAAGGAAAACGGATCATTACAAAATTGATAGAGATGAAGTTTCTTTATGAGATAGCTTATACAACATTTATGAAAGCGCATTTAGTAAATTATATATGTCTTGACCATTCGAATATTCGATAATGTTTAACCTTGAACAACAACGTATTATCTATCTTTTAAATCAGTAATTCTACCAATAGCAAACAGTACTCGTATTAATCGTTCGACGTCACGTCGATTGCGCAAATATCGAATAAGTTTCGATTCACTCGCGGTCTGAAGTTTGAATATACCGTGAACTTCTTGACCTCATTTTTCTCTATAAAGACGTAAGAAAGAATGACTTGAAATAATCCTTCGAATTGATTTTCCCTCGCACTTTTATGAACAGCCAGACGCGTTGTCTTGTTCGAATACTCCGCCCATTTAGAATCAGCACCATCGAGTAAAAGTAATTTCAGACATTTTAAATTCCGTATTATTTCGTCGATTGTTCCGTTTTACTATAGATGCAATATCAAAGAGACCTATGATCGTCAACGTTTCCCGCGTTAACAGTTGCGCCGTTTTTTAGTAGAAAACTAAATATAATTAGATTACATGTTGGAGCAGCCAAATATAATGACGTTATGTAAAGTGCGCTGATTAATATTTACATATAACTAATCCATCGGAGTTTTCTAATGACTTCAACATCAGTATTCTGAGCTACATAGTGCAAAGAAGTGTATCCAGAGCAATAGGTCTTGGCCAAATCGATGCCTTGTTGTAGAACAACTTGATACCCGACGATCCGTATTGAAAAACGTGACTTATAATCATAGATGCCAGACTTTTTATTGAACAGCAATTTTTCACAACATCAAAGTTATCATCGTCGTCATCTCTCAATTGAAAGAACATAAAGCTGTATTCTATACATAATGTATTTACATCCTTGTTCTAGTTATTAAAGAAAGATGCAGTGATCAAAAGAAAATGAAAAATGATTTTCAATTATCTACATCACATCCGACATTGAAATTGTATGAGTTGAATATTTTTTTCTTATCCACTAAAGTAAGTTAAAAAAAACATTATTTTCAGTAAATTATGAATAACTTTTTTAAAAATATTTTATAAATTATATTATACATTTTTGTCACCGACGTCATAATTACTTGATTGTTAATTAATGGGCATGTTATTAAATCCTTTAATAAAAATCTTACGATCTTTTATACATATTTTTGCGAGCTAAGTACAACGCCGTCCTAGTAATTCCAATATCTTATAAACTTTTCAAACATGTTCAATTATTTATTAAAATTGTTAGTTACTTTTGATAAACTAATCCAAGTACATGTTAATATAAAAATTCCAACTGTTTGCGTTTAGAAGTATGTAAAAGAGAACATAGTCTAGCATCATCACTGACTTGGTCGCTTTAATTTAGCTACCGGTATCTTGATTATTTTATTGTTTCGCAGCTGTACTATTAAAATTATTGATAAAAACTGAGTACTTTTTAAATATTTTTCGACACAATTCCGTTAAAAAAATTACAATATTACGTATGGTTTTTAAGATATGTTTCTCTTTTCACTTTTCATTTATCTGTTCTTATAATTATTCATTTGTTTCATTTTTCCTGCTGCCATATTTTAATATACTGTATTTAATTTTATCACTTATTTTTATATATTTCATTTGAATTTTATGAGGATCCTATAAAGTCATTCTTTTGCTATTGTTCCTAATATCCTTTGTTGTATTCTTGTACAAGCGTAAGCATTTAGGTATCTTTTGTAGTTATCTGCTACGCAACTTAGAGTCCTGTTTTTTATATATTTTTTCGTATGTACGTAAACATCTAGTATTTTCATAATTTTTAAGTTATTTTTTTCAAACTTAGCGTGTCATGCATAATTATTTTTATTATTTGAGTGAAGTTTTACATTTGCAGATCTATGTTATTGCATTTTAATTATTATTATGTGTATAGTTACCTGAAAATGATTGAGTGCCATATTTAATTAAAAGAGTTTTAGATTTAGAATTTTATTTTAGCGATAAAATGCTTTTTTCAATTATAGTAGTTTTAACTTTATTATATAGTTATATCCAACTCAAAGTACACATTTTTTAAGATTTATTGCATATTATTGCATTGTCGATGGTAGTTACATCAACTTCAATTATTTTGTGAGACTTCCTGTCCCTCGGGAACCTGTATCTAAGTTCAATTCGATGAGATACTACTGCTTCAGACATCCACAAGAGTCTACCCTAAATTCCAAATCCCATCATATAGGACTGATAAAATGCTAACGAAAGAGAAAAGTCCACTCAACTATTTTATTTTTCTTATGCAGCGAATCCAGGAGATTTTTGAATTTGTTTTCGTAAGGATCCAGCTGTGCAATAATTTTTCTTCGTACCTATCGTTAGATAATTTCGTTTCAAAACTGCGACATCAGGTTACAATTTGCGTATCATAGAACGCTAGCATCGCGAATGATCAAACGAAATCTCCTGCAAGTTTAGAGGAAATCACAAAGTATTTGCACATTCTTTGGAATCATTCTTGATTAGATTTATATATGATTTTTCCACGCGAAATAAATTTCGTCCATTTTTAAGATATAAAGATGTTTGCAAATATTGTCTTATATAAAGATTGCTTTAATAAAATAGAGCAAACAATATTGTTAAAACGTATCTAAAAAATGTACTATACAAAGACAACTTAGGCTATATCAAAAATAGTAGTCATACTTATAGGTACGAGGCTATAATTCTTCGAAGCTAAGTCAAAAATTCGTAACTTAGTCAAAAGTTGAAACCAATCACCATTATGGATATAACATATATATGAATGCTTGCACAAATGGTATCTATACTTATCTGAATGAATTATTTTTCAATTGAAAATTATCTTAAATGTTTCGTCGAATAATTGCTTACATTCGGTATCTAACGTACTAAAATTTGTGTCATGATTCTCTATTCTTCAAAAAATACTTCTCGATTGACAGCGTTTTTTTTCTAGTGTATTTTGAAAATTCTACACGTGAATTTTTTCTTTAAATAACATTTACAAAAATTCGAATCAGTGTTTATTATTGAATACGAACTGATTTTTATGGTTTACGAAATTAGAATGAATACTAAATTGAATAGATTTGCAATATCATGATTTTATCCAAAAGTAATGATACTTTTAAGAAAGAATTTTTCAAAGGAAACAAATAATTTTTACAAAGCAAACTATAAAACAAAATAAAAATACGTCAACAAATAAACTTTCTTTTGACTTTTCCAAATAATAGGTTAACGCGGCAATTAATAAGACATGTCTTTCATTGCATTTATTTTATTTTATAATAAAACTTATTCCCGAACTGTCAGTCTACACATTTGCCTTATTTTATTTCACAATAAAACTTATTTCAAAACCGTCAGTCTAAATTAAATTACATTATTTTAATTCGCAATAGACCTGATTCCTAAATTGTCGGTCTATGAATTGACATTCAATTTATATTACAATAAAATATATTCTCAAATTGTCGTAATTCTATAAATTAACATTAATTTTATTTCACAATAAAATTAATTCCTATACCGTCAATCTATAAAATATTATTTACATACAATTACTAATACGTCAAATATTACAAATTAGATACAGAATAATGCTGCAAGAGACGTAATACAATGTTATGATTGCTCATTCGGATTTAAAAATGAACAGGTGCACATATCTGGATCATTGAGCTTCTCTAGCTCAGTAGCCAATGAAGAGTATCGGTATTTAATGAAATTTTGGGTACTGAATCCGCCGAATGGATTAGTTATCGTGTCCATCGGGCGAAATTTGATCAACGTTGGTAAATCTAGATTACGTCTGGACTCTGTACCTACGATTTTCTCAATGGCGTTCGCATTGTGAGCCGCACTGGCGACCATTAGATGGCTGAGTCCAAATCTGGAAAAATTTGTTGTTGTCAATTTCACGTTTTTTGATATGATTGTTGGACATGATGAAATTATCAGCTGAATAAAATATTTGTTATTTAAATATTATCGAGTAACCAAATATTATCTATATAATTATTATTGAAAAAATTAGAAAAATTGTCGATCAAACAGAATATAATTACTTTTACATGGTATGAAATTGTCAGTATTTCTTTAAAATTGTAAAAGCAGATGAAACTGAAATTTAAAAAACTTCAGTCAAATTACATGAAAAAATATTTTAAAACGAATATTAATTTTTATTAATAATAAATACTGGTTGTTAAAATTTCATGATGAACGTTAAAAAAAGGCATTACTCTAAAAATAACTTACCTGTCTACACAATTCTCGTGATCCTTATCATAGGATAAAAGAAGATCAATGATCTCAAACATAACAGTTTTATCAGACCTCGTGGAAATGTAGAGAGCAAGGTGCACGGGAGTCATTTCCATTGAAGATCTGACATTAAAATCAGCATTGTTTCGTAGCAGCAAGTCAACAATCTCGTACCTGCCGAATTGCACCGCTAAGTGTAAAGGCGTGTATCCAGAATACTGCAGTTCGCGATCCAGTGCAATCTGGAAGACAAATGAAAGATAGCTAGTTGCTGTGCGTTGCAAAATTTAAAGGAGTAAATAAAGATGCTGTTGGATTAGCGCGAGACGATTAAAAAATAAACAGCAGTACAAATCGAAAGCAGACACATCGCAATGGTTTTGCATGTGAAGCGTACCTGTTGATTGATGTCGCTGGGAAATTGTTCGAGCAGTTGTGCAACCCTGTCGGGCGAGGCTTCAGCACAGGCAATGTGCAGCAAACTCAGCCCATCATTATTCTGCATGTTCTCCGTGGCATTATCAAGATAGTGCTCCAGCATCCAGTAGAAATATTGGTCACGCACCTTAACTTTGGTGTAAGCGAGATGCAGAGTCGTGTCGCCATGGCAATTAACATCGGTAATTTTTGCGCCGAGAGTCGCCAGCTCCTCGATCGTATGGCTCCAAGGTAAAGCATCGATGCAGGAGCGCAGCGCTGGATTTTTAGCTCCGTGCTTAGTTGCACGACAACCTTTGTCCAGCAGTAAATAGATCAGTCGTTGACGGCCGAATGTTACCAGCCATTCGTAATCTGTCGAATAACCCTCCAGGTGACAGACGGTGTGGATGAGAGACAAGATCTCGTCGTTCATCAATGGCTCTGACGGGTTTAAAAAGTGGGGCATTAACGTGCATGCCGAGGAGGGCCTGTTACTTTCTCTCTTGATCATCGACATCTTGGCTGGAATCTGCGGGCAAACGGTATTAACGATCCCTTAGTGATTTCAAAATTCCTCTTTCAATAACATAATGGATTTGTAGAGCTAACTAACAGTTTGAATAATGCGAACGCGCACTCGTCAAGTTATTAAGAAAATCACTGCCAACTGCAGTGCCAAGAGTGATGAAAAATCACCCGAGCCCTCTTTCACCGTGGCGCTCTCTAGGCCACTGCGAACCGATATTTCCCCCTCTCGAGGCCTCACTTGCCAGGCTAGCGTTTAACGCCAGCATCCAAAGCTACTTACTGTTATCCTTTTTGTAGCTTAGCATAATTCTTATTTTACCTAGCCGAGTATCAATAAAGCGCTCACAGTGCATATTAATTAACGAGTATATACACAGCTTCCGGTCCGCGGAAAGCCTCCATTCCTCTATTCCTTGACAAATGGATGCGTAAGGTCGAGTAAATTTAGACGACTTTTAGAATAATATGCATAAGCATATGATTTTATTTATACAGATCATTGAAAATCGCCTCAATTTGTTACTAATATTATCACACAATATGTGCAGAAGTAAGAACAATTCTTTGCACATATAAAACAACTGGAGAAAATAATGAATGCATGTTACAGACGGATGTAAAGAGAAATGATAATGACTGAGATATCCAATTATAGATAATACAGAGATGGAGTCAAATCGTATACGACAGATGAAAACAGCTAATGTATAGACGAATAGACTTAAACTTAGACGTAAACTTAGTTTACTCCAAATCTCAAACAGAGAAATCAACAATCTCATTGAGATTGGAAGAGATAAAGTTTAAAAAATCTTAGAAAAAATGAGTTAAAGGCTTGGTGCAAATGATTCAAAACTAATGATCGATGTAGCGAAAACAATGGAATAGGAGATCAATAAATTGGAATCAATAATCACTTATTCAGAGATGCAATAGGAATATCTTCGTATATGTCAAAGATAAGACTTATAAGTGTAGGATACATTTCGCTAACTGTATTCACAAAATTTTGAGACAAAGGTAAAAGCTAGAATAAATAATTACAACAATAATATTGAAAGTAAAGTTTATAAGGATTGTGCAAAAATAATAATGAGTCTAGATTTCTTATTTCAATGTACTTCTGAATTGTGTGTCATAGAAGAAATTCAACAGAATTTTCCAGAACAAAATTATAGTAGTAAAGACTTGAAATGAAAGTACTGAAGTATTGAAAATAATAATAGAGTATAGAGTGTGCAAATAGAAATATTTCTTGTTCGTTAATTTTTATTCTTTCGATTATCGTTCGAAAGTTTTATTTGCAAACATTCGCATAAAATGACATAAAAAATATTAAATTCGTTTTTTCGAAATATCAACTGTCATACGTTTTTTGTCGACTTAAAAAAAAACAGAAGGTTCTATATTCGTCATGACTTTTTTTCTAATGTTTGTTCGTGCACATCTCTGCAGCAATTAAACCGATTAAAAAAAGGGAGGGTCTAATAAAAAAGGGATACTGATGAAATAGTCTCATTTCTTTATTAACTTGATTGGAGTATAATTTTGCGAGTAATTGCAAACGCTTATCGTCGACGAGTGGTGTTTATAGTGTCATTACTACTTATCCCTGTCACACGTCATAGATTTATTGGACTCAAGTGTTGTCAAGAGCAAAAGCTGACGTATTACGTTAGAGAAAGGCATACATTCGTATGTTCTTACATTAACACAGTCGGTATAATTATATTATCTTACCTGGCAACGGCTTATCGACAAAGAAAATCCAATAATTCCATATTGTTCAATACAGGTTCATTAAATCCACGGCCCGTGTAGAGTTAATTACCCTACTCTTATAATACCTCTCTAGAAAATAAATTTCTGACGTTTACAATGTGTGATAATTTACGCTATACGCAACACAGATCATTTTTCAAAAATTATTATGAAATGCTTATGTGCGTATGTATTTCATAATACAAATATGGTATACACCTGATCTATACTCACCTTTGTGTATATTTATTAATTAATACAAGTTAATGTTGGAGTAACCTAATAAGTCAACAAATTTTCATTATACTTATTAATTAAATAAAAGTTCATGGTATAATTAATTATAAAATTTTTGAATTTTTATTGATTACATTAAAATGGCAGTGCTTAAGAGAATAAATATTTAATACGTGTTTCAAATAATACATTTATTAAGTAACAAAATTATCAAAAATTAGTTTAAATCTGTTGGATAACTATTATCCATCGCGTTTTGTCACATTAAAAAATTACAAGCTACAATTATCATACACACTGTAGTTTCTTCCATCAATGTTGCTCCGAATCCTCTCCGCGCAGACTGAGTGCAGTTCGAGGGGCGGAGCCACAATTTTACGATTAGCTGAACGCCCTCCCTCCCTCCGCCCCTCAAAAGGTACAAGACTGCCACGTAGCAGAGAGGGAAAAGGAGAGATTCCAGTCCATGGCTGACACTAACACTCTCAGTATCTTTTGCAGTCTTGTTATGCGTCAAATTTCTTCTAAGTATACAGTGGTAAGTGTTTAAGAAGGTTATATCTTAATATAGCTTGAATTTGCATGTGTTTCTTGTTTTCAGTGCTCGAATCGAATTTTATTTGTTTCGCGATTACTTCTTCAAAATGTAAAAAACTTGCGCGACTTTAGTGGCGCGAATATAATTTAGTCTTTTACACGTGCCGATTTACTTATTCGTTTTGTGGGGTCGCATAAATATCAAGAACTTTCTCTTTTCAACTGAGCCCTGATAATAGCCATCGCGCGTTTTCCTACATCATCGTCAAGCACTGGTACAGAAAACTTACTCGAAGAGCGGCCGGAAAAAAAGCCTCGACCAAGGCTTCAGTTTTTCGGGGTGCGGCTTCTTACCCTCGTCATTTCTTACTTATTTTTTACATAAAATATGATGTACTGTCGCGTGCACATCTGCATAAGACAGTTTCTCTAAATTATTGATTAAAATTGCAAATCTTAAATATTCTGAATTACATACATTTTTTTAATTTCTTATAATTGTTTGTAGATATTTCTGAAACGACAATGAATTTATTTAATTAGAAATGCTATACCTTTTTCCCTAATCTTTAGCAAAATTAAAAGTCGTGTCTAAATGTTGTTATCTGTAAACTTACTCTTACTTTTTTCATTATAATAGCTCATTCCATAGAGAAATTGTACATATTAACATATTTATTCATACATATTTAATATAAATACATATGCACACACAGATGTATATATATTAAATATGTTAATATGTACAATTTGTCTATAGAATGAGCTATTATGTCTTGTTAATATACAAATATTTACAGAATTTAGTTGCCTTGAATCATTTTTTACTTTTCCTTTTTTATATATAAATTTAAAACTGTCAAATTGTTTTATTATTGCTTTAATAATCTTATTCAAATCAAGCATCACAGTAATTTTTGAATTTTTTTACCGAAAAGACAAAGTGTGTCAAATTCATTTGTAATTAAGAAATACTATTAGCTACACTATAGATGCAATAGTTATGTAGTTTGAAACTATCTCAGCTAGATTCAGCTTGAAATACAATGGATTAAGAATTACTTGTATATATTGAATTTGCTTATAACGATTCAGAGGTTTCATAATGTTTCTCGTAGAATCGATTTTCGCTATTAGTTTTTCGAAAGAAATAGATTTTTGGTAATTTGTTTAAATAACTTTTCATAAACATTTTTAAATATCAGAAGAAAAAATGCAGATAATTTTTGTCAACTACGCCATAAATGCAATAGTTAATTTGAGGATGTCTCTGCTAGATTCGACTTGGATTTTAATGGGTTAAGACTGACTGCATCAATTTTCTCCAGAACTTTTTATTTATTTATTAATGTTCAATTGAATTATGGTGCTTCTGTTTGAATTCAAGTTTCTACGTATAATTTGTAAATAATTATTTGTATTCTTTCATAACCATCTTTATTTGCAATTTGTATACAAAAGGACAATAAGGAATGTAAAAATGGTGTTTTATATTTTTTGAATCTTGTAATGCTAGGTGTTGTATGAAGCAATTATTTTACTGTCGTCATCTTGATCGTCGTCTTTTCAAATTATTTCATTTATGACGAACCACAGTGCGTTCACGATGAATCTTAGGGCTTTATTTTGAAATATTTCAAAAATATCTGTTTAAAGTTTTAACTAGATTAATATAAAAATATAAATATGCTCAATGTTATATAAGCCTCACCTCGAAGTTGAATTCGTGATAACAATAAATAAATAATCAGAATTTAAGCAGTAAAATATGGACTTTAATTAACTAAAACGAGAGACTAAAAGAGAATTTATCAAAAGCTTCAAAATAATCATGAATATTTTCAAAGAGCCAGAGAACCGTGGACCTTGCCGCCGAGAAGATTTAGCGAAGATTATTCTGTGTTATATAAAATGTAAACGTAGATTATTACGACCGGCAAAATTATTTATTTAATAGTATGTTGATATAATGTTCAACAGGTTAAATAGTCTTCACAGCAAAATTCACTACAAATTTCAGCAAAGTGCCAGTCTGGAGAATCCTATATAGATCACTCGTAGGTAGTTGCGATTGAACTTATTGAATGTGTTCCGTGGTTTGGGAGCGAATACTACATAATCGTCGGTTCGTCAATATCGTCTCAGCAGACAGACCCAGCCGTGGTCCAACTACGAACTCATGAGCATTTTTTTTTGTATGTTAGGTAAATATTATAATACATGTAATGTAAGTACAGTATATATCAAATTGCTAATAAAAATTATGTTCCGCTTCATATCTTTGCAATATGTCATGTAATTTTCAAGAAGCTAATGATTTTTCCCCTTCATTTTATTGTTTATCTTTCATGTAAACAATACATTTTCAATACGGTAATGAAAAAATTTTTCAAGCATAGGCCCCTGGCGACTGCAAAATCAATTAAGTCAAGTAATTTGTTTGAATCAGAGGGTTAGTAGGTAGAGTCAGACGTAGATATTAGAATTACATTTTTAACTTGCATTACTAAGTATAGATTAGCTCTTTTTGGTTTTGGAGTTATTGACCTTAATTCTCACCACGGATGTTTCGTGTTATAATTCAATATAAAGCGAACGCCTCTATTTAACCCTTAACTACTATGTGGGGTAGATTTACCCCAGACAATTTTTAACAATAAATAAAAATTTTTTTTTTTTCAACAA